GTTTGGTGGGCCTGGGCTGGATTCGAACCTACCACCTTAGGTGTATGTGGCTGGTGCCTTAGCCACTTGAGCCCACAGGCGCCAAGCCTTTAACAGCTTTTAAACTCTACTTTATTTACAGAGCCTGCCATGTTGATCTGAAAATTGGTGATTCTTTACTTGTCTGCACACGTAACTCAGATAATACCTCCTCTTGTTATAATATTCTTGGACATATTTTCTTCTTTTTTGAAACGGCTATTATTTCACGATGCTGTGTACATTCTAAGTAATGGGTATTTCTTGATGTTTGTTTGACAGGTATGACCGCTTGCTGGAGACCTGCTCTATTGCCCTTGTTGGTAAATACACCAAGTTCTCAGACTCCTATGCCTCTGTCATTAAAGCTCTGGAGCATTCTGCACTGGCCATCAACCACAAATTGGAAATCAAGGTAAGGAGCATTGGCGCAGGCACACTGGGCGTGGTGGGGTGAGCAAGGAAGCAGGTTATGTTTTCCTAGACGTTGCTTATATATCTGCTTTATAGTTTTGGAGCTTTGAATTTCTTTTTAGGGCTAAAAAATTGTGGTTGCTTCTGGCTTTGAGAAAACAGTAGATCATTTTCAAGAAATAATGAGAGGAAACATGTTTAGAATAGAGGGTGAAAGATGACCACATCAAATTACCCTATGGGAAGGGGGGCCCTAAACCCAAGGCTTGTTGCATGATTCATATTGATGGCACTGCCTAGTAACTGTCCTAGACACCTTGCAGCTCTTGGAGACTTTGTTGGCTCATGGGCTACCTTAGGAACCTGCGCTGGTGCCACTCACCTCACTTATGAAATGTGAACGACAATATCCACCTTATGGAGCCTTGGGGGTTCTCTGAGACGTGTGTCCGGTCCCCCAGATGGGGCCCGGACTGTGGATGCGCTCAGGTAGTGGTAGTTACAGTGTTCTTGTCTGGGCTGTCATGGGGAATGTTAGGGCATGACCCTGCGGCTCTACAGGTTCTGCTACAATGTTGTGTTGAAGAGGTTGGATTCCAGAGCCAGATGGCCACAGTTAAAATGCTGGCTGTATTGCCTACAAGTTGTGAGACCTGGTCTACTTACTTAACCCTCTTTGTGCTGCAGTGATAGTCCCTTCTTTGTAGGTTGTAGTAAGAGCTTGATGATTCTGTCCACTTGGAGTTAGTCTGTGGCTACATGTGTTAGGTGGCAGAGGCTGAGAGATGAACAGAGAGTCCACAGTCTCTGCCTTCAGGGAGTACTGGGTATCTTAGATGCACAGGGACCACATAGGAGAGAGGATGAATCTGCCTTGGTAGACATGTGTCAGGCGTTCCTGACAAAATAGACAGTGCGTGTCCAAGAGCCTGGAGATGTGGCGTAGTCAGGAACCCAGTGGAGGGAAACCATGAATTGGAGACTGTTTAGAGACAGGCCAGCAGGAGCCCAGTCATGATTCCTGTAACCAGGAGTCATGCCTGGCTCTTACCCTGAGCTTAAAATGCTTGTGTTTTATTGTATGTAAATTGTGCTTCAATATAGTAGAAAAACATTTTTAAAAAAGCAGCTGGGAGATGGGCTGGGAAAGGATCACTTGAACAGAGAACAACTCGGAGTTTGCTGCAGTGGCTTGGCTGAGGCCAGATTTTAGTACAGACCAGTGGAGAGTGGAGAGAGCCAGGTTTGGGAGTTAAGTGATTTTGAAAGAAATTGTATTGTAAAATCTTAGTTTTAATTTTTTTTAATTATTAAATTTAAATATGATAAGACCACTTCAAAGCCAAAATTAAGAATGATAGAATATAAACAATATTATTTAAGATTTACAAAAGCGCAACCTGGAGTCAATGCGCCTGTTTCTTACCTCCGCTGTCTGACTAACAGTACATAGATTCCACGGACTTGGAGCCGAGCACCTCCCAGGAAGAGCCTGTGCGCTACCATGAAGCTTGGCAGAAGCTATGCAGTGCTCAGTGAGTGGGGTTTGCTGCCTTTAGTTTCCAGCATTTTGTTCGTTTGTTTTAATGAGCAAAGTCCTATGCTTTTGTGTACTCAAGTAATCTACTTGTTAAAATATCTTTTAAATGGAGACTTTATAGCCTTTGTATTAACTTGGATGGAAGTGGAACACATTATTATTAGTAAAGCATCACAAGAATGGAGAAGCATGAATTCTATGTACTCAATTTTGATATGAGGACAATTAATGACAATTAATGACACGGTGGGGGTGGGGGAAGGGGAGAGCAGAGAGAAAGAAGGAGGGAGGGGTGGGGGAAAGGAAGAGCAGAGAGAGGAAGGAGGGAGGGGGGTGGGGTCTTGGTGTGTGCCACACCTTTTGGGGACAAGATACAATTGTAAGAGGGACTTTACCTAACAAATGCAATCAGTGTAACCTAATTACTTGTGCCCTCAATGAATCCCCAACAATAAAAAAAATATATCTTTCATAGTTGAAAAACCTATATACCATATGATTTATGATACGTAAGATGAAGCTTACCATTATTGATCTGAAGAAAGCCTGCTCTAATTGAATTGGTATTGCTTGCTGTATGTGTCTGTTGATGAGGCTTAAAGATTTTTCATTCAGAACATTTGATGAGTACCCATCAGTAGAGTCTCATAGGCAGCTGTTATTTATAATAGTAAATTCCCCTGGAATGTTCAGGAAAAATGTAAAAGAAAAAAATATATAATAGTAAAAAGTTAAGAATTTTCTAGGTCACTAGGACTATTGAATATTACAGAGCTGTGCATATACTGAGGTTCTTGGTCAGTGTGGCATACTGAGCTGATAGAGAAAGGCCCCCTTCCTACTGAGGGGAGCACTTTAAGCCGAGAGGCTTAAATAAATTGCATTTATATTAATATACAGGGTGGCCATAAAGTTCTTATACAGTTTAAAATAGTGTGCAATTTAAATTTGCACATGGACTTTTTGGCCACCCTGTATATTAAAGAAATAAACAATGTGTGCCTGGGACAAGTGCTGTAGCAGTATCACAGTTCTGTATACTGTCACGTTCTTCACTTGTAATAAGCATCTTCTCCTGTTACATTAAGGAAAGCCCATGCTTTGGTATGGAGTTCCTAAGTTCATGGGGTTTACATACAGCTCACTGATAGGCTTTCACATAGTTGTAGTTCCACTACCAGAACAGATGGAGTCATCTCTGGCATCAGTGTCTTGGGATGGCTCCTTAGGTAGTTACTATAAGCGGGACTGAATTAAAAGGGGAGTGGCCTTGTGGTTTGTTCTGTTGTGCAGTGGAGTGCTGGTTCCAGGAGGATTTGGTGTTCGAGGAACAGAAGGAAAAATCCAAGCAATTGCCTGGGCTCGGAAACAGAAAAAGCCTTTTTTGGGTAAGGAGCTATGTCGTGCACTCTTAACACGGAGGAGGAGAGAATAGGAAAAGGTGCCACGTGGAGCCTATGAGTAAAGTGGGGAGGTACTGAAATGTGCAGCCCGAGTAGAAGCCTTTTTGGTTCTCTTTGGGAGAATTAACTTTTAAAGTGGAAAATGTATGGGCTTGGCACCTGTAGCACAGTGGTTACGGTGCCAGCCACATACACTGAGGGTGGCAGGTTCAAACCTGGCCCAAGCCAGCTAAGCAATTGCAACAAAAAAATAGTCGGGCGCTCTGGTGAGCGCCTGTATTCCCAGCTACTGGGAGGCTGAAGCAAGAGAATCACTTAAGCCTAAGAGGTTGAGGTTGCTGGGAGCTGTGACGCCATAGTACTCTACCACGGGCGACATAGGCGACATAGTGAGACTTTGTCTCCAAAAATAAAGTGGAAACTGTATGTTTATGAGCTACATGCAGATGTCATGAAATTTTGAGAGAATTCACTATGAACTGGGAAATCCTGTCATTGAATGGACCTGGTTGTGTCCACATGAAGTTGAGCTGTGTACTGTATCCTCCTCATCTGCCACCACAGCCATCTGTAACTGGACTAAATGACTTTGGATGCCTCCTGTCTGTATGTTTTAGTAATTTGCAGCTTGATTGATAGTAAATGAGAACTTAGAGGGGGTAAGGAAACTTACATTTTGAAGTACCGAATAGAATATTGCTTATTTCTAAAGTTAGATAACTTTGCAAAACCTGAAATCTTCATGTAGCTTAGACTTAGTTTTTGAAATCAAATACAGGAGAAGCATAATAGCAGGAGGGTGCTTGTTAATAGTAGAGAATTATGGGTTTGTGATAATAATTCTGTGAACACCATGGCAGGCCGGTAGGAAATGTAGGGAGCTGCCTTTTTAATGGACCTTTTCTCTCCTCCTGGAAGGTGTGTGCTTAGGAATGCAGTTGGCAGTGGTTGAATTCTCAAGAAATGTGCTGGGATGGCAAGGTAAATGCATGTCAATGCAATGTCTGGTAATTCCTGCTCCTGGGTTTTGTGGGGGGCGTGAAGCCCCTTGCATCATAGGTGATTTCCCAATGGATTTTCTCTGTGGAGAAGGTCTGGCCTGGCCTCTCAGCACCTCACAGTGTGCTGGAGAGGAGGCTGCCTCGCTACTGAGGTGCAGCCAGCTCCTCTACTCTTGCTCAGGCTGGTCTGGAATTCCTGAGCTCAGGGGTTCCTCCTGCCTAGGCTGCCCAGAGTGCTGGGATTGCAGGTGTGAGCCGCCACGCTGGTCATGTCTCAGTATTCTGTGGTTGGCTCGGCTAGATGCTGTTGCTCCCATGTGTTGTACCTGAGATAGCTTATTCCTGCCTGTGTGCTTAGCCTGGAAGGGACATGGAAGTGGTTTCTCCATGTGGTATCTGGTTACTAATTCAGCCCAAGCTTCTTTACTTATGGGGGACCAAGTGGCTTCCAAAACGACAGGCTCACTGTGCAAGCACTCATCAAGCTTACTAATGTCCTTCAGTGGCTATAGCAAGTCATGTGGTCAAGCCCAGTGTCAGCAGGGGAGGGAGCACACACACTATGAGTATTGGCCCAGTGGTTTTCTGGGACCATGGATGGAATATTCTGCCATAGTCCATTTATTCTTTGCTAGCCTAGTTGATCTCCTTGATTTTCAGAAAGACCTCCTAAGTTCTATGAAAAATAAACAGTACAACCTGAACGAATGTAAAGCAGCCTGACTTCACACAGTATGAGTGATCTTCAGTGGCCAGGTTGCAGTTGAGGCTGGGATTTTCTCTTGAGAGGCTGCTCCCCAGTAACCCTGGTCAGGGGTGGCTGGCTGGTAGGCAGCATGCCCTTCAGCTCTGGCTTCTGAGTCCTGGCAGGCACTATCTTATTACCTGCCACCCCAGAGCTGGCTTTCTGGGCTCCCTGCTCTCCTTCACAACTCAAGCCCCTGCCTCCCAGTCAGGGTCCCAGGTGGGTGGGTGCCCTGGTGATGAGCTTAACCTTCAGTTGTGACCAGACGCTGGTTCAGGCCTAGAGGGGAACGATATCTGCATCCACACAGACCCTGATGTGGTACCAGGAACTTTTTTTTTTTTTGGCCTTTTAGTCTTCAGTGGTTTTGCTTGTGGTTAGATGGTACGTTCAGTAAAGGGTAGAAAAATTATTTGAGTTGAAACTAGTTAATTTTATCAAGTACTGAGTGAAGGCACTGAATAGGGCAACATTAGAACCTGAGTGTGAAAGAAATGTAGAAGAAATATTAATAGTACTTGATCATACTGGAGAGAGGAGTCTCAAAGTTAAGATGACAGTGTAAACATTGTTGTAAAGATACATTAACTATAAAATAAAAATCATAAGGTTATGCCAGTGGTTTTGATTTCCCCATTTTGCACAGCTTGACTTCTTGGAGAGTTACAGATTTAATGGGAAAAATTCATGTGTTTGTGTGTGGAGTATTTTATAGCTTAAAGATTCTGTCCCTAATTTTTGTTCTAATCATTGATTCTAAACCGAGTAGGGAAAGTGTGATTTAGGGCTTAGCAAAGAAACTACTAAATAATCAGTTTTGTTTGTAACTGTTTTTGTAACACAAGTGTTTTGATTTTTTAGATGCTAATTCTACAGAGTTTGACCCTAAGACCAGCCATCCTGTGGTGAGTTGAGTGTTTGCACCTCCACAGGGCTTAGAAGGATTTATAAGGGGTGCACTTGAACGTGAGTGATGTTTGGAGACAGGGAAGTAAGATGCTTGGGTCCATTCCAGAAAACCCCGAGGTCTTGGGTTTCAGAACTACTGGACAGGAAAACCTTTTAGTTTTCATTTTGTAATTCCTTACTAATCTTTCCAATTTACCAAAGAAAATTTTAAAGACAGGTACCAGCCCAGCCAATTAGAGGGGACTGATTTTTTTTTAAGAGACAGTGTCTCACTTTATTGCCCTCGGTAGAGTGCTGTGGCGTCACAGCTCACAGCACCCTCTAGTTCTTAGGCTTAGGCGATTCTCTTGCCTCAGCCTCTTGAGTGGCTGGGACCACAGGTGCCTGCCACAATGCCTGGCTATCTTTTTTTGTTGTTGTTGTTGCAGTTTGGCTGGGGCCAGGTTTGAACCCACCACCCTCAGTATATGGAGCCAGTCCCCTACTCACTGAGCCACAGGCGCCACCCGGGACTGATCCTTGAATAAAATAATTCTCCACCTCTGCTCCCCTCGGCTGTAAGGAGCATGGCCATACTGTGTGTAATATGAAACACCTGGGCACTTGCTCTGTGCCATATGTATGCATTCATGTGCTCACAGCCATAGTCCTGGGAGGTAGATTTGTTACTGGAGAAGTGCTAGGATCTAGTAATGATTGCTTTAAGGGCATCAAGCTTTCCCAGGACTGCATACCTCACATTAGAGCTCCTGCTAGGGGTGCCCAACCCATTGTATTGTCAAGACTCATGAAGAAGGGATGGTGCCTTTATTTGTTTTTGAATCCCCAGCTCAGGGGTGACAGGCACATAAAGGGCGCTTTTTTTTTTCAGTGTTCAACAAGTGTTGAGTACCTACTGTGTGCTAGGGAGTACTCTAGTCGCTGAGGACAATGTGCTTAAAAGAGGTGGACACAGTCCTTGAGCTTATAGCACTTGGGCAGCATCAGCATGTTTGTCAACCTGAAATTAAACATTGCTGGGACTAAGCTCAAGGGGCTGAACCAAGGTTTCGAAGTGTGGGGCTTTGAGTGAGGGGGAGTAGGGCCCAGAGAGGTCTCTGGAGGTTGAAGAGACTTGGCACCACGCTGAAAGGTGAGCTGGACTGTCCCTGCTGGGTACCATGTCCCAATGTTCTACAGACACTTGCTAAGCTCCTGCTGGGTGCCCGGCCTGCATCCCTTGCATTTGAGCAGCTCTGGGGCTGGGAGGGGAGATAGGTATGTTATGACATTTCTAGCCTTATTCCGGTACTGCTGTAGTAGCCTCTCTCAGCATTTACCACCAGAGCACTGGAGCAGGAGTGACCAAAAGAGGAACCAGGTGCACCTGGCTGCAGGGTATGAGGACAGGATGAAGGCTCAAACCTCTGCAACAAAGGTTAAAAATGAGTCCTGGGAAACATTGCCCCTGTGACAAAACATCTTTTATAAGCAAAGGCTGGAGGATGAGAACTTACTCCTTGAGTGAGGTTGGTCTGTCTCCTAATACAAGCAGAGTTTTGTAGTTCATGTTTGTTTTCTGAACACCTCTAGGTCATAGACATGCCAGAACACAATCCTGGGCAGATGGGTGGAACCATGAGGCTGGGCAAGAGGAGAACCCTGTTCCAGACCAAAAACTCCATCATGAGTAAGAGCTGCCCTGCATTGGCTCAGCCTTTGGCCCAGCATGTCCAGGACGTGTGTCTTAGGGTGGTGCTATGGCTTCAAAGAGCCAGGCAGGCTGACTTTTAAGTTGAACTGTGTGAAATTGCTGATAATTTGATGGTTTTTGTCCCATAAAAATGCCTATTTCATGAGTCAACTTAAATAGACTTTTTTTCTAACAAAGTATTAATAGGTGCTAAAGATTTAGGGAAATTTGGGGAGACATCTGTTTATGAAAATGACTCTATTAGAGTCATTTTTTTCTTTCTTGCCCACTGGGAAAATTCCACCTTTATTAGCAGAGGGAGATTTTTATCTGTTTGGAGGTTCCGTAGTAGCATAGTTTGAGAGTCACTTGAGTAGAGGATCTTCAGGGATTTGGGGCTTTAATGTTCTATGGATTAGGGGAATTCATAGGTCACTACTTGTAGACAGACAGTGCGATGATCCATTATTTCACTTCCAAGAAGCACAGTTGACAGTGGCCTTTCTGATTGACCTGTGCAAGTATGAACTTGCTCAGTTTCTGGTGCTGCTGGGAGGGCTTCATGTATTTCCATCTGTGTATATTTCTTGATTTTTTTTGTGTATCTCAAAACTTTTCATAATGTACCATTAGGTGATAGTGAATGAGTAAAGCACCCCATTAGCCACCAGATGCTAATGACCCTTGATGCCTGTGATCTGAACTGCATGGTCATCAGAGGTCAGAGGTCATCTGTGTAGCTCTTGTCCCTCCTCCCCACATTATTCTCAGGGCCCTGGCCAGGTCATATAGGAGATTTGTTTTCTAAGCAGTTTCTAGCAGTGAAGTGCTCAGCAGTCGTGTGTTTTAAGGGTTGGTGGTGAATGTCTGTTTCTGTTAGTTTTCCTTAGTATGGTCAGAAAGAGTCAGAAGCCCAAGAATTAGTTGAAGTTGTGCTTTTAAGAGCAAGTGACCATGGCAGAATTGTAGAACTAGCCTCACAAGTCCTGGCTGCGTCAGCGATGAAAAGTAAACCGGGAAGCAGAATGCAGTTGTGAATAAATCATCTGTGAAATCCGAATTCTTTACACCCAGCATGTTTGCATTGCCAGGGAAACTCTATGGAGATCCAGACTACTTGGAAGAGAGACATCGCCATAGATTTGAGGTGAGGATTTGATCTTGTTCCTTCCTGTTACTCTGGGAAGACAGTAAGCTGAGAGGCCAGCAACTTTTTCTTTCTCATGCTTCAACAGGTAAATCCAGTCTTGAAAAACTGTTTGGAAGAGCAAGGCTTGAAGTTTGTTGGCCAAGATGTTGAAGGAGAGAGAATGGAAATTGTGGAGTTGGAAGGTGATTACTTGGGTGGTTGTATTTAATGGAAAACTTAGTAAGGTTTTCTTGGCATATGGGAAAAAAATGTATCTTATCATTCCTGACATAACAGAGTTATGAAAAAGTGCTGAATTGTGAGGGAAAGGGTCTGGAACTCTGAGAGGTTTGTCTTTGTGCATGGCCTTCCTTGGCAGCTGTTTAACTTCTGGGCTCAGTTCCTCCTCCAAAATGAGAGTTTAGACTTGGTGTTAAAAGTAGCCCCTTTAACTCTCACACAAACTGCTCGACTCACTCGGCAGAAGTCATGGGAGCCAGTGTTTCTCTCAGGACCTTGGAGAGGAGGTTCCTTCAGCTGGGAGGGGACAGCAGTGCCAGGGAAAGGGCCTTGGATTAGTAGTGCTTTGAGGTTACCTTTACCTAGAATCAAATGAAGTTATTTTCAAATAGTTTTAGGGCCCATGGAAATGTGAAATTTTAATAAGATTTTTTTCCCTCTCAGAGAACTCTGACATTTTACGCATAACATGCATTCTGAAGCTATTTCTTTTGAATTTCTGTTACAGATCATCCATTTTTTGTTGGGGTTCAGTACCACCCTGAGTTCCTGTCTAGACCTATCAAGCCCTCTCCACCCTACTTTGGCCTCCTCTTGGCCTCCGTGGGGCGGCTCCCGCATTACCTCCAGAAAGGCTGCCGGCTCTCGCCCAGGTGGGGCCCTCTTTACTTCACAGATCAGCTCCTCTGTAGTCCTTTACGTGGTCACTGATTCACGGGACGAGTCACACTCTCAGTCATAAGAAAAAGCTGCAGGTGCCTGGGGTTGGGGTGTCCTTGGATAGGGTGTCATGTGCTCCTCATGACATCTCCTTGAATGTTTCCTGTCCTTTCTGTGTCTTCTCAGGCTGCTTCCCTGGGTATTGGCGGGGGTCCCCCTCTCTGCAGCATCTGAGCTCCAGTGGTGCTGACAGGATCATGTCTGGCACATGACCTTTTGGTCCATGTTAAGGAGGAAATATGTTTTTTCATGGAATCAGTATATGCCCCATTGCTACCTTTATCTGAAACCAGTTACTCTGATTTGGTGGGTAAGGATGTCATGACTGAAGTATAAATGGAATGTATGTCTTTTACAACTAGAAGAAGAAAATCCCTCTACAGCTTCATGCTGAATATATTATGTAGTAAAGAGTGTATGAAAACAGGGAGGTATAGTGAGTTTTGGTGGGAGATGATGAATAAGCCATCTGAATTCTGCAGGGACACCTATAGTGACAGAAGTGGAAGTAGTTCTCCTGACTCTGAAATCACTGAATTGAAGTTTCCATCAATAAATCATGACTGATCTTACAATGTAAGTGATATTTTTAAGCTTTATTTTTTAAAAAATGATAATACATTAGGATTGCAAGAATACCATAAAAGTTTAGTGTTAACAGTTTTTGTCTGGGTCAGGCACAGGGGCTCTGGCTTGTAATCCTAGCACTGTGAGAGGCTAAGGCAGGTGGATTGCTTGAGCTTACGAGTTCAAGACCAACCTGAGCAAGAGTGAAACCCCCATCTCTACTAAAAAAAATAGTTGGGTGTTGTGGTGGGCACCTGTAGTCCCTGTTACTTGGGAGGCTGAGGCAAGAGGAACTCTTGAGTCCAAGAGTCTGATGTTGCTGTGAGCTATGACAACGCCATGGCGCTCTGCCTAGGGCCACAGAGTGAGTCTGTCTCAAAAAAAAAAAAAAAAATTATCTGCCAGAGGTCACTGCGGGTATCAAGTGGGCAAGCTCTCCTCTGAGTTATAGCATTCTTGCCTGCCCCACTTTGGGGGGCACAAGCGGTACCAGCCACTGGGGGTGGTTTCATACTGACTGCTGTGTTCAGGTGGCAATCTGACCAATTCTGGGGGAACTGGGTTCTTAGACTGTTGTTTCACATAGCTATAAACTAAAAAGTCTTAAAGGACGTGACAGGTGTGACAATGTGGTATTTCCCATTTTTGCAGAGCCTTAAGCTTTCATCAGAAAGTACTTTAAGGCTGGTTATGGTGGCTCACGCCTGTAATCCCTGCACTCTGGGAGGCTGAGGCGGTTGGATTGCCTGAGCTCATAAGTTGGAGACCAGCCTGAGCCAGGGCGAGACCCTGTCTCTAAAAATAGCCGGGTGTTGTGGTGGGTGCCTGTAATCCCAGCTACATGGGAGGCTGAGGGAAGAGAATCACTTAAGCCCAAGAGTTTGAAGTTCACTGTACTCTATCGAGGGTGACAAACAGATTCTGTCTAAAAAAAAAAAAAAAAACTTTAAAACTGATACTGCTCATAAAGCAGTTTTGTGTTTGTGCTTCTTATTCTGGAAGTCTTTTAAAATCCAATTATCGAAGAAGCTTTATTGTCTTTATAGTAACAGGGTTTGTTTAAAAAATGCAATAACTAAGGGTGCTGCTGTGAATCATAAAACCCCTTTAAGATGACTGAGTGGTCTGTGTTGGCAGAAAAACACATTCTGTTGGTGAGAATATCAGGATCTGTGGGGTCTGGAAGGAGAGCCAGGGACATGGGTGTGGTCTCACTCTATGGGAACCCACCACAGGCAAGACAGGCTGCTGCTGTGGCATTTGCTGTACCAGGAGTTCACCACTGTGGGCCTCTTGGGCTGGTCCAGTGCTGGTCTGATCTAATGAACAGAGTGTTTCCCCTTCTGCCTGTGGCAGATCGGCCACCTGACCTGTGAAAACCCTGAACAAGTAGGTGGGTGTGGGAAGTCAATCAGGGTCAGCAGGAAGGCCTGGTTACTTACTCCAGCCAGGTAAGCATTAATGCGATGGATTCATTAATCTCTGGACCACACAGTTTGCCGTAGCCAATTTGATAAATGGATATGAAAAGAAACTTCCACAGTGAAGGAGGTAGATACTTGGTCAATTATGCAGAATTTCTGATGGCCTTGCAGGTGGAGAATTGCTTGTCAGTGGCACAGAGCCTGGGTGCCATGGGAAAAGAATGCTTGTACTGGGGTAGATGTAGAAGTTGATGTGTTAGATCTTGAAAATGTATGATTCTGTGGGAATTTTAAATTTAGGCTTCTCATACTGCTTTGCCACGAGAAGCAGATCTAGTCTACCATGGCAACAGAGTATAAATTCTGACTTTCCTACTTTAATGTGCGACTTATAGTTGCTTATTTTTTTTTTTTTAAAACAGGGATGATTCTTCAAGAGAGCCTTCAAACTTTGGTAGAGTTTACAGCTTTGATTTTTTTTACTAAGCTTTTTGACACTTCTTTTAAATTATGTTTTTATTAAGATTATTTTATTATAGGGAAAGGTATTTGGGAAATTTTGTCACTTTGCATGCCCCATCACATGTACTGGCTCCTGCGTGGTACCCTGCCTGTTGTATGACACCCTCCTTTGCAGTTCTTGAGTTTCTGAGATGAGAAGCAGAATGTCTGATGGGAACTGAGGGTAGCCAGGGCTGGTAGAGCACCTGGCGATCACAGTGCTTCTCAACTACCTCGCATCATTGTGGATTTGAGTGTGTTACCCATGGCTTTCCCTCAGATGCTTAGACCATTATAAAGTGTGCCATGGGGACTCACTGAGCACAGAAAGATAATTTTAGCTAGTACTTGCAGTGCTTGGTGCTGGGGACCCGAGAGCGCTGCCTGCCACTAAGAGCAGTGAAGTGAGGCCAGAGACAGAATCTCAGTATTGCCCTAAGTTGTGGGGACTCTCAATGCCAACTTTTGGCTGGTCCTCATCATCCAAATGGACGGTCAGTTTGGTGTCACGCACAATAGGAAGAAGTTTGACCCTCCGTAGTGTGATTTTAAAATCGCCCTGCCTCTGGCTGTGCTTCTATTCCTGGGGCTAGGAAATACTCCTTGCATCAAGGGGTCACTTGAAACAGGACAAAGAATCTTTTGGTAAAACTGCCTCTTAGCACCCTCTCACATATAGACAGCTTTGACTCCAGGGTGGTACTTTTTTTTCCAGGATGGTGTTACTGCAGTTGAAATGCAATATGAATGAAAAACTATTTTCTTAATGCGACGTTAACAATAGGCACAGCTATGTGTGTCTACTATATTCTGGCTGGACTTCATGTATACTCTAACTTAAGAAATAAATAATGTGGAACAAGAGACATGCTTTGTTTCCCATTCTGTGTTGTTGGCTATGTGTTAGAGCACCATGCTGGGTCTGCCCATGCACAGTCACCTACTTTTGGGCCAGGTGAGCAGCTGCAAGTGAGCCCTGCTTTAATTTCTAATGTTTAAATTGCTTTGAGGCAGTCTTGCTCTGTCACCCTGGTTAGGGTGCTGTGGCGTCGTCATAGCTCACACAACCTCCAACTCTTGGGCTCAAGTGATCCTTCTGCCTCAGCCTGCCAAGTAGCTGGGGCTACAGGTGGGCATCACCACACCTGGCTTTTTCCTGTTTTTGTAGAAATGGGGTCTCACTCTTATTCAGGCTGGTCTTGAACTCTTGGCCTCAAGCAATCCTCTTGCCTTGGCCTTTCAGAGTGCTGGGATTATAGGTGTGAGCCACCATGCCTGGCTGAACCTTGTTTTTTTTTTGAGACATAGTCTCACTATGTCACCCTCAGTAGGGTGCTGTGGCATCACAGCTCACAGCAGTCTCAAACTGTTGGGTTTAAATGATTCTCTTGCTTCAGCCTCACAAGCTGGGACTATAGGTGCCTGCCACAATGCCCAGCTATTTTTTTTATTGTTGTTGGAGTTGTTGTTGTTAGCAGGCTCGGCTGGGTTTGAACCTGCCAGCCCCCGTGTATGTGGCCAGCGCTGTAACCACTGAGCTATAGGTGCTGAGCCTGAGCCTTGCTTTTAATAGGAACCAGAATTTTCCAAAAATCCTTCAATTATAGGTTCTTAGCATACAAAGAGAACAATTAAAAGGCGCAGGAGTGCTAAGTATGCTGCTTGCTAATAGGAAAGGTCGAGTGAACAGCATTTCTTAGGAAGGAAGGCTTTTTCCTCTGCAGGTCATTGGACTTGGGCACTCCACATACACAGACAAGGGGCAGCAGACCAAAGACTGTCCTAGCAGCAGGGCTGCAATTTGTCCCCCAGCTCTTCCTCCACCTTAACCTTTGAGTACAGGACCAGTGGCTAAAGGTCACTATCCTGAGTAGTTTGTCCTCTAACGTGAAATCTGGCCTCTAAGTACACCTACCTAGGGATGAGCTGTCTCTGTAAAGTCTGTGGCAGGCAGGAGCTGGATCTCAGGCCTGCTGGCTTATCAGTGCTCACAGCCTTTACTCCTCTCTGAAATTTGAGGAACTGGAGGTTATAGAGAAAAATGTTCCCTTCTCTCACCATTTGGCCCAGCTCCTACATCAGAGAGGTCCAGAAAAGAACTGGGCTCTCATTTATCGTTCCTCTCACTAGTTCAAGGCCTAGTTCCATCACCCTTGAGGCCCAGAAGCCAGAGTCCCTCCCTTCTGACCCAAGAACAACCTGCCTTTTTCTGCCTGTCTTTCTCAGAGACAAAATATCTTCACTTACAGAGAGATCTTCATACTTGCCTTGGTACTTTGAGTAGCTTACTGAGCATAATTCTAACTTCTTTTCCTACCTGGCATACACATTAGATAGTCTTCATTTAAAAAATAGAGAACAGGGCCAAGCACGGTGGGTCACGCCTATAATCCTAGCTCTCTGGGAGGCCGAGGTGGGTGGATTGCTTAGGCTCAGGAGTTTGAGACCAGTCTGAGCAAGAGTGAGACCCCATCTCTACTAAAAGAAACAAAAACAAATTGAGGCAAGAGGATCTCTTGAGCCCATGAGTTTGAGGTTACTGTGAGCTAGGATGCCAGGGCACTCTACCAAGGGCAACAAAGTGAGACTCTTGTCTCAAAAAAAAAATTTAAAAATAAATAAAAAAGCAGAACGTTCCACGCCATGTGGTGGCTTACACCTGTAATCCTAGCACTCTAGGAGGCCGAAGTAGGTGGATTGCTTGAGCTCAGAAGGTCAAGACCAGCCTGAGCAAGAGCAAGACTTCGTCTCTACTAAAAATAGAAAAACTAGCCGGGTATTGTGGCAAGTCCCTGTAGTCCCAGATACTTGGGAGGCTGAGGCAAGAGGATTGCTTGCGCCTGAGAGTTTGAGTTTCCTGTGAGCTATGATGCCATGGCACTCTACTGAGGCAACAAAGTAAGACTGTCTCAAAAAAAAAAAAAAAGAACATTCTGGGTTGGGCACAGTGGCTCACACCTGTAATCCTAGCTCTCTGGAGGGCTGAGGTGGATGGATTGCTTAAGCTCAGGAGTTTAAGACTAATCTGAGCAAGAATGAGACCCCATCTCTACTAAAAAAGAAAAAAGAAACAAACTGAGGCAAGAGGATTGCTAGAGTGCAAGAGTTTGAGATTACTGTGAGCTATGATGCCATGGCAGTGTACCCAGGGTGACAGAGTGAGACTGTTTAAAAAAAAAAAAAAATAAGCATTCCCACAGCTGAGGGTCTGACATGCCCACTGGTGACAGTAGTACTTCCACAACAGTGTGGACTCTGATGTGAGGTGGCTTGGGAATCTCTCCAGTGGTTGTGTTCCTGCCCCTGACTTTCAAGTGACTTCAGCTGGCCAACTGTCATGTGCTGGCCACTTGCCATAACTGTTACGAGAGAAGGGACTCTAAAATAGCTCTCTAGGGCATACAAAGCCCCAGTTGGCTCTGGCTGTGGCAAACAGGACTATGCTAGGTGTGTAGGCCAAAGCTGGACTGCACAGGAGGGCAGCCTTCCCTGCCTACTGTTTACTGACCCTGCTTGGATACTTTTCCCCAATGGGGAGGAACCACAGCAGTGTGCCTCCCATGTCCCCACAGTAAGCCTCCCTTCAATCTAGGGGCTCCGTGCAGGTTCTTAGTGTGTAGCAGCTGAACGGAACCCTGACTTTACCCTTCCTTTGTAGGAACCTGGTATTTCCCAATAAAAGCATTTCTAAGGACTGGGAGGCCTGGACTAGTATCTAGTATTGGGCTTGGCACATGGAAGGTTCCCACAAATGCTACTCCTGACTTCCTGAGTAATGCATTCCTTATCTGTGCAGTTCCTAAGCAGCCTTGGTGATCCTGCGGCAGCTCAGTGGGTGGGTAATAGCAGCTCTGTAACTTGTCAAGATACATACACTGTTCGTCAACATTTGATCACAGGATGAGAGGTAGCCAAGGCAGGGGTTATATCCTGTTTGCTAAGTAAGAAAGCCAGATCTCAAAGCAGTTTTGATTGGTTCAGGAAATGTCACCTAGCTGGGGAATGGAAGGGCTGGGATCCCAAAGTTATTATCTATGTTGGCTCCATAGATGAGGCCAAGGGCCTCTAGACCAAGGAAGTTTTAGAGAATCATTTGAAATGTATTCTGAGGGACCCCAGTCCTGTGAAATGCCCCATTTGATAAGATTAAGTAAATTCCTGGTAGCCGAGACCCCAAATTTAGGAGATTCCTTAATTATTTTATCAGTAGATATTTACTAGATATCTACCACATGCTGGCCATACCAAAATCCCTGGCCCCCAGAGCTTATATTTTAGTTGGGGGAGATACTCAATACACACAGTGTAATAGTTCTATGGGGAAAAAAGATGAAAGAAGGAAAGGGATGAATAGCGGTGCTGGGAGAGTAATGCAGTTTAAAAAAGAATGGGAGAAAGGTTGAGTGTGGACTTGAAGGAGGAGAGGAAAGGAAATAACCATGAAGCTGTTTGGGGGAACAGCATTCCAGGCCAGGTAGCAGCCGGTGCAAAGGCCCAGAGGCAGGTGTGCAAGTGAGACAAGCTGGTCAGTGTGGTTGAAATGGCTTGTGCAAGGGGTAGAAGAGATTGAGGTTACCTGGGCTGATTGTGGAGAACTTTTCATGAGATGGGAGCTTGGAGGGCTTGGAATGCAGGCACAGCATGATCAGCCTCTGGCTTGCCAGGCCCTGGCTTGGCTGGCGGAGAGAGCAGGGGAAATGTCCAGAGCAGAAATCCCCTCCAGTGGCAGGAGGAGCCTTGGAATGGAAGTCAGACCCTTCCTGTGCAGGAGCTACTCTGTGCCATAGTGAGTACAAATGACAAATGTCCCCACCCAATGTCATCCTTTCAGGTGAAGCAGCTGGAGCAGAGGCAAAGCACTTTGCCCCCTGGGACCTGGTCTGAGCTGGGCAGGAACCTGACTGTCTGGGCCCCTCCCTGCAACAGCTCTGCATAGTAGGACCCCAGGGCTGGTGGCCAGGCATGGCACTTGTGTCCCAGTAGCATCTAACTGGCTGACCAAGTGTCTAAGAAAGAATGATTCTTGCCCCAGGAGCATGTAATTTATTAAGAAACTTTGACAGCCACAAGTTCCAGCAAGTCGGGGGTGGGGGCTGCAGGATGGCCTTTTTGTCCTGTAATGACAGTCACTGAATATGTCTCATCATTTGCAAGGGGCTCCAAGATGACAAATCCTTTCTGGCACTGTCTAGCCAACTGGAGTCACGGACCCCAGCCTGGGCCAAATGAGCATTTTAGGGAGACAGCCCGGCCCTTACAGCTCAGCTCTAGGTAGCCTTGGGCAGGGTTTTACAAGTTCTTGTTGAAAGTAAGATTCCTTGAGGATAGTACTGAGAGCAGTTTCTTATCCACACAGACCAGGGTCTGCTCAGGGTTGAAGCCATGTGGGGACCAGCCCAGGTGCAGTGGTGAAGGAGCTCCCATTCACCTCTGAGTGGCCCAGGTGGATTTTATTGGTAGGACTTAGGCTCTAATAGGAAAATTCCTCCATGTCCCTGTGGAAAGCACAGCAACGTCCTGCCCGCTGGACCCTCACAGGACACAGCAGGTGCAGGAGATGGGCCAGTGCCGCTGCAGCTGCTGCTGGAGCTGCTCCTTCTCCACTGTCAACACCTTCACCTTCTCCTCCAGCTTGCCCAGCTCCACCATCCACTTCTGGGGGACATTGTAGAAGCAGATGGCTGAGCTGACGTTGAATCAGGCCAGCTCACCCTCCCGCCTGGTGGCCCTCTGAGGTAGGTGGGGAAGCCAGGTCCCTCAGCTGTGTTGCCCTCTGTGACCGCATCAGCCTTGGGGCTCTTGAGGGAAGCTGCCAGTGTGCCAGGCCCAGGGCTGGAGCCATCCTCTGCAGCCCATGATGGTCCCCTCTGATAAAGGCTTTTCCTTGGGATTGTTCCAGCACCCCTTCCCCCTTTATTTAGGGCCTCTCCTAAAATACAGTATATAGTCTTCAGGGTTTTCTTGTAACTTCTTGATATTCAGGTCTCCCGGCTTCCTCAGTCACCCAGGATTGAATGCCTTAACCCTCCAAGGAGTGTATTTCAGGCACCATGAGAAGTGGGGTACTGTGTAGATTTTTAAGAGAGTGCTTGGGTTTCTCCTTCCCTAGCAGCCACTGAACAGTGGCATGGGGGTTGCAGTGGGGTAGTTTTAAGCCCGCCCCTCCCTTTATTCATAGGGCGACACTGAGGCTCGTCCAGGACATTTGGTGAGTAGCCAAAGGGCCCCAGGGTCAGCTGGCTCACCCTGCCTATGCCTGGGCTTCCTTACCTGCCTGCACCACTCTTGGATGGCGCTGGCGGACAGGGGGCCCTGGATGCTCCCCTCGCGCCGCAGGAACACCTCCCCTTGGTCTGTCTGGTAGAGCTGCGGCTCACCCTGGGCCTTAGGGGTGTGCACGGTCAGGCGGATCACCTTGGTGAGGGCAACAGCAGTTCTGGCAGGGGTTGCACCTGACAGCTGGCAGCCCCCAATCCCACTCAGGCTGCTTCTCGTTGCTGTCCACCTCCACAGGGCAGCCTGGTAGAGCTGAAGCTGTACCACCACCAGCCACCCCCAGCCTGTCCTCCAGGGCCCACTCCACTGCTCTCTGCCCCAGGACTGAGCAGCATGGGGCATGATCTTGTGGAGAGATGACAGGTGGCAAAACAGACCCACAGGCCTTCCTGTGACACAGGCTCACCTTGAGGGGCATGCCAGTGGCCGAGGTGCTAACCACTGGGATGAAGGTGAGGGTGTAGGCGTCGGGAAAGACCTGGGGCTTGAAGGCCTGCAGGATGGAGTCCACCAGCAGGCGTGTGCGGTCCTCGTCACGGTGGCTGCAGCGGATGCCTTGCACCAGGCCACTATCCTCGATGCCCACAAGCAGGCTGCCACCCTCGCTGTTGAGGAAGGCACACACGTAGCGCCTCACGTGGTGCTTGAAAGCCAGGTTCAGGTACTCGCCGCCTCCCCGCTTGAACTCCACGTTGCGGGTCTCACTGCCCAGGAAGGCGCCCTGGAAGAGCTGCTCCTGGCCCCTGATCTCCTGGTACATTATGGCGCTGTCAGAACACACACCACTGGGTCGGCTCTGGCAGCTCTGCTGCTGCCGTGCCCGGGGCCCTTTAGGCGACCTGGCTGTGGGCAGTGGGAGGTCGGAGCCAGGTCTGGGGCTGTGGCTAGGGCTGGTGCTTGGACTCCGGCCACTGTCGTCCTCCTACAGGGGTGGGGATCAAAAGCAGGGTGTATAGGTCCAGATAGGAGTCAGGACACTTGGCCTTGAGACAGATGGTGCAAATCCCACAGCTGCACCCCCTGTCTGGGGTCCAGCCCTCATGGGCATCTTGACACCTACTCCCAGGCTGAGGGGCCCAATTTTGCCCACTCTCCTTGCAGCCAATGCCAGAATCGCTGCAGATCAAGGGTTCAAACCAGCCCCTGCTGCTTCCCCTGCTGGGCTAGGCTCTTAGATGAGTGGTGGGTTGCCTGGGAGGTAAGAGATTTCTGCTTCCTGAGGCTGGGAGCTGGGACACCTGTGGGCCAATCTTTTCGTATTTGGGTTGCAGATAGGCCTGTGAGGCTCAAGACTGGATCATTCCAGGAGGTGTCTCAGCATTCTGAGTCCCCTGTGACAAAGCTACAGGTCCCTGAATTGAGGGGTTTCCAGAGAACCCCAACCCCTTCCTGATCTCTTTGGAACCTTAGCCCGCCATTTTCCAGACTATTGAAAAGTCCTCCTGAATCTCAATTTTCCTCTACCCCTCCAAGAGTGCCCTTCTGTGGCTTCTGTCCTGCTGGAGGTCTCAGATATGAGCCTCCTCACAGCCACTTTCCTCCTTACCTGGGCCTTACTGGTCTCCCTGCCTCCAGGCTTTCCTCTTCCCAGCCTCCCCTCACTGACCCTAAGTACAAGTCAGACTGTCATGCCTCCTTATGCCCCTTTCCTGCTGGGGTACAGCCTTAGCAGCCCTGCAGCTCCTCAGAGGAGACAAATTTATCTGTTTTAGGAACAATAAATTGTCACACAAGTGTGAAATCAGGTACAGGTATTGAAATGTAAGTCACAGAGCTGTTTAGTTCTGCCAGCAGTTTAAACAGGGGTTTTTACCTGAAAGAAAAGAAAAACTAAGATTGTCTTATGGAGTGACCTGCCCTGACTCCCCATCCCCTAGTAAAGCCAGACTTTTAGCCCAGCTCTGCCTTGGTCTATAGCCTTGGTGACTTGCTCCCTACCCTCTGGCCTAGCTCCTTCCTCAGTTCCCCCTATACCTTCATCCTGAGTTCTAGGGTATTTGTCCTGCAAGTGCAATAGTCCCCTTCACCCGCAGGGTGTCCTTTACATGGAATGTAAGGGTGTCCTTTGCCTGGAATGTTTTTTCCCCTGAGGGCCAGTCCAATTCTCTAAGTCTCAGCCTGGACTTCACTTTCCCTGGGAATTTGTCCCCAGAGAGCAGTGTGAGCCCTCTGTCCACAGGTCTGAGCACAGCCATGGACCAGCTTTGTGTCTGGCTCTGCTCACAGATGCAGGGCTTCTGGCATGGAGTGGGCATGTTTGTCAGCTGAGCAAATGAGACTGGCCAAGGACACAATCAGGAATCCTGTGTAGCCCAGGCCTCCCAGACCTGGAGGCTGAAATGAAAAAGCACTCAAGGAGGAGGCCTACCCTTTGGCCTTCAGGCGAGCACCTGGGCTGGAATTGCACTGTAGGTCAATGTCCCTCTGGGTGATCATTTGAGTAGCAGCCCCCTCACATGCACCCCCAGTCTAAAGGCCATTCACACCCAGCCGTCTCCCCAGGGTAAAGCTCTAGGGTTTGCTTGGGTAAAGTCTCACTTACCTCTCTGCGGTTGAAGGGACCCCGGCCCTCACCCAGCACCAGCTCCTTCCCATGGGCTGCCAGCTCCTTGAGGATCAGGTGCTCCTCTGAGGCTGTCTGCAGGCGCCAGGGGAGGGAGGCCAGAGTGGCCTTGTGAGTGGCCACCTGCACCAGTGCGTAGGCCTTCCGTGGCCGCTTCACCACCTCAATGTGCTCCCGTGCCACCGGTAGCTCAAGCCGCTCCAAGGTGTCTCGCAGCAGGCACGTGAGCACAGGCACTGAGAACTGGGGGTTCAGATGGCCCACATAGAGAGTGTGCATTCTGGGAGCTGCCTCGAGGCTTGAGTCCTTGGGCAGGGACTCTTCTGGGGGGAGTTCTCCTAGGAGCTGCTCACCCTGGGGCTCCATGAGGGGTCCCGCACCTGTATTTATGCTGATCTCTTCCTGGGGATCATGGGAGGTCCCTCAGAAGGGATTTGAGGATTCCTTGCTGCCAGCTGCTCCTCCCAGGCCCTGGGGCTTTCAGCTTGGCCCAGGGCCTCCCAAAGGACTCGGGTACCAAGGCTCCTGGGAGGCTTACAGATTGGCAGAGACTGGACAGGGCCAGAGAGAGAGAGAGCACAGAGGCCTGCCACCCACCCACAGCCTAGGACAGGAAAGAGAAGTCAGGCAGACCTTGAACTAGACACAGCCTATGGGAAGACAGAGGGATTTGCCCAAAGAGGGGCAGAAGGGACCAGAACTCAGGTCTCTGAGGACTCCACAATAATCTTCCAATGGCCCCAGGGGTCCTGTCTTTCCTCCCCAGTCTTTTAAAGAGGCCCTTTTGGGGAAGAGGCCTTAACCCAGGACTCTCAGGACTGGCCAGTGGTTCCATTGTTGCTCCTCCCTGCCTGGTGTAGAACCTGGTGTGAGAAGAGCAGTGGCTCAGAAACTTGTCAGGGCTGTGTTAGAGGGTTTTGGAGTAAAGGTTTTCATGCTTTTGGCACACTGACAAAAGTATGGCCCTTCACCCCAAAATGGCTTTTTCATATATATGTATAATTTGACGATGCTCATAGACCCTAAAAATTCCTAGTCTAGACTGAGTCCTCCACTTTTGGTTCACAGAGCAGAAGGGAGTAGGCGTAGAACAAAGGTTAGAGATGGGGCCCTTGCACCCCCCATCCCCAGACCGAGGAGCCTCATTCCTGAGCTGTGCACATATGTACACATACCAGCCCCTCTACTGACCCCTACACACCTAGCTTCCAGTTTGCATGGTAGATGCCAACAGCCTGCATCTGTTCAGATGGAATCCTTGAGGCAGTCTGGGCCTGTGGAGTACCATGGCTGGGGCGAGGGCATTCAGGTCAAACAGGAATAGAAGAAAAAGGGAGGCTTATGACCTTCATGTCCTGATAGCTGCTGGGGGCGCAGGGGAGGTGCCTGCCCTGAGCTCCCACAGCTCCCTGACCCCTGGCCAGCAGCTCTCTGGGCACTTGGGGGCTTGGCACAGGGGCAGCAAGAACCAGGGTTATAGGAAGTGGGCGGGGCCTGCACAGCTACCTCTGTGATCTCATGAGGGTCAACAATGCCTTCTTAGCCAGTCTCAGGTAGACAGGGTTAGAGAAGGCAGGCAGGAAAATCCCCAGCTCCCTGTGAACCCTACCACCAACTGGAAGCAGATCCAGCTGCCTCCCACCTTTCAGCTTGTCTATAGGTCAGCTTCCTTTGTCTGATAGCTTTCAGAATCCAGGGGCTGAAGACATGCTTCTGAAGAGACCGCAGTAACACCATTTTGTAGATAAACTTTATCCCAAGAAAAGAGAACAAAAGACTGAGGAAGGGAAGAAAAGAGGGGGGCGGGGACCACAAGAAATTCCACAGCAGGCACAAGCCTAGAACCAAGTAAACAGCTTAAGTGGCAACAACCAATCAGAGATTCACATATTACTCACCCCAGGGGAGCCCCTGACCACGGAAGGACAGTCAACCAGTCAGAATCCCCAGGCCTCCCCAGTGACCAATAGATGACCATATACCGACTTCTCCCCCAGCTACCTTCCCTAGCATTTTATTGCAACCCATAATACCTCGTGAAAAAATGTATAAAAACTTCCCCGGCCATTGTTTTGGGGCCACTCCCTTGCGACCACGCTGTTGGTGGGAGTGACTGGAGCATATGCCCGAAAAGAATAAAACACTCGTTGGTTTTCCCATGTGTGCATGGTGGTCTCTCAGTGGCATCGCTTTTGGTCCTAACACTTTCTCCTTCCATGAGGTCTCTGCAGGCCCAGTGCCCATGCAGGCCACCAGTTGCCACCTCTTTTAGTCCTGTCATCTAAAACCTCCACTCCTATCTCTGGTCACAGGCTCCACTGAGCACTGACAGGGCCCACTGACTGATGGATCAGAATGCATATGGTGGGTTCCATGGCTCCCAAGCCCTTCTCTAGGCCAGAGACAGAGACTGCTATCCAGAAGAGCCCCCCCAAATAAGTCAAGCATTGCCATCTCTTTGGAAGGACAGAGCTGTTACCTGTTGTTTGATACAACTTTTCTTAATGCAGGAATCTGTTCTGGGATGGGTGGGAGTTTTGGTAAGTGCTGTTCATTTGCAGTTCACACTACTTCAGGAAGCCCTGATAGGGGGCAGCAAAGATGGCAGCCAAAGGCAGTGCTTCAACTGAGGGCGCTGTTTGACACTGGAGAAAAGCTGCCTTCCCTGTGAGCCATTCTGAAGATGTTACTGAATGTTTGTTCCTATAGGGACCCACGCAGTAGTTTGTGTGGGGAACTTGAGATAAGAGACAATAGTGTAGGGGCAAAGGGGAGGCCCAGGTCCTGGTGGCAGTATGAGGCTCTGGAGAAAGCCTGTCAGGTGATCTCTCCTTGCCTTCCCTCAAAGCCAGGTGGGACATGGCCGTGTCCATAGCTGAGTTAAGGAATGATGGCTCTGAGCTCCCTCTATTGCCCCTCACTTCTCCCTCAAACCTTTCTTGTCTTTGCCATCCATGAGCTTCTCTCTTAGCAATTGGCCAACCAAGGCTGGAGTTGTTCTGAGAGGGTCAACACAAGCTGTGTTGTGGTTGAGCAGTGCAAAAAACAGATAGCTGGCCAGCAGAGGTGGCCTGAGGTGAAACACCTGAATACAACCTGAGGTGCTCTCCCTACTCATCTAGAGATCACCTTGTTCTGGGGTGGCTGTTCTGCATGACATTTCCCAAAGTGACTTCAGTGCCAAAACTTCCCCCCCTTTTCCTGGCCATCTCTTTAAGCTGCTGTATCACATATTTCTCTGGAGATCTTAGCCTTCTATGGGCTGAATATTGTCTTTCATTGTATGCACTAAATACATGTATAAGAATTTTGTAAATACAGAAATGCATTGCAATATAATTTGTAGCACTGTAGGCTTTCTGATAGTATTAGGAAGTACAAGTGCTTTGCAGGCAGCTCAGAGTAGCAATTTCATCAGTATTGTGGGATAAGCAGCCCTTTTAATCCTCTTGCAGGATATCTGCGACCTTACTGGCCAATTTCATTTGCAGGCACTGGAGAGAAAACCCCTGGAATTTAAGGTTATTTATTAATGTGAGGTGGGGGTTAAAGGAGAGTACCTCTGAGAAAGGGTGTTGCAGACACAGCCTTCAAGGTCCTGGGACCCACGTCACTCCTGCTTCATACCACCAACTGCTCAGAGATTCACACCTGACTTGACAGGATCAGCCCCAGCCACCATGGAGTATGAGACTGAGCGGCTCTGGCCCAGTGTCTGTGCTCTGGGTGCTGTTGGCCTCTGTGAGCATCTGCAGTAGCTCTGGGTATTGCAGGCACAAACACACCGTTCTGATGCTTGGCTGTGACTGTCCCTGGGCTGGAGTTTTGAAGCTGTGGCCATCCATGTGCTTTCATAGGAATGTGAGAATGAGGGAATGTGGTGGCAAGACCAGGTCCAATGACTGAGGGTATCAGGGTAAAGAGGCTACAAAAAGCTGAGGGGTGGTGAGGGGAGGAGTGTCTGGACTCTTTTCCCCAAGGTTTTCCATGTTTTTAATTTTGGAGGTAAGGAGGGTGAGTCACCTTTAGGTTCTTCCAAGGAGAGAGTGTGGCACTCAGCATGAGGACAGAAACAGTGACCACTTGGCCCACCAATGCCCCACCCCAGAAAAAGATGTCAGGGAGTTCCATAGAGATGTCAGTGAGGAGTGTCTGAACAATGGGCCAGAGTGGAGGGCTGACATGGACCACACAGCCAGCAGGCAGGGAGGAGCCAAAGATAGGGAAGGGGCAGAGGGTTCCAGAAAAATGCCTTCCCTCTTTTGGTTTCAGCCTTAGTGGAGCCTAGACTGTTACCTCTGAATGCTTCCCGTTTCCCTCTTGATCCCAGCACAAAGTCAATGTCATCTCCTCTTCACAGCGTTGAGGGTGGGCACGTTGAAGCTAGTCCCCCAGGCCTGTTTTCCCATACACCTTCCCACTCCGTGGGCTGCTGGACTGCTTGGGTCCACAGAGTGGCCTGTTGTGTGCTGCAGCACATATGCACTGGGCCTGCCTAAGGCTACTTCAACTGCTTTTGATGACTCTGGGTCACTATTAGAAAGCTTGGCTTTGTGGAATTATTTCAAAAATTGAGGATTTTTTTTTCTTTTAAAGTAACATTCAGTGCTAGCCCCAGCCATTAGGGCAATATGAATAAAGGGTTAACAAATCCCCTCCCTTCCTGTGGAACTTGACGTTTGGGTACCTTTCTAGTTCTTTTTTTTCCTGGAAAACAAATAAAAGTGGAACGTCACTTGTTTCAAGGCAACATTACTTCTGTTAAACATGACCCCAATTGTAAACTGGACATGTAGTTGTATGTATTAACTACAAACACTTGCTAAAAAGCCACACTTTGGGCTTCCTATTGGCAATGACTCTACTGGGCACTTCCCTTGCAGGGACTCTGGAAGTTATGCCTATTAAGGTTGTTCAAAGAGATATTACTTTCCTAGGGGTATGCTGTCCTTAAGCCAAAGCAAACCTCACCTCTTCCTACATGTCTCATTCCCTTGTTCCTGAGCTGTCACATGGGCAACCAAAGAGAAAAGCTCCTGATGACTGTGGACTCTGCAAGGGCTCACCTTCCCCACTGAAGAGGACTAGAGCCAGGATAGGCATGCCATCCTGCTTGCAGGCTGTTTCCTGACATCCCTCAGCATAAAAGCAGTGCTATGGAGCCTGTAGGAGTCCAGAGTCTGAATGGTAGCTGGATCTCAAACAAAGGCACCTGGAGGGAGTTGTAAGCAGTAGGATGTATTTGTACCCCTCATGTGTATTAGCTATGGAATTTTGGGGCAAGTAACTTAAGCACCTATAAAATTGGGGTAACAGTAGTTGTTACAAGATTTAAATGAGATAATGTACAAGAACAACTCAGCACAATAAGCCCTCCAAACAATGTTCAGCAGTAACTTACATACTCCTGTGGTGCCCTTGGCTTCACAAGGCCCAACCTTACATCCTGTCTGGCCAGCCTAACCATGCTGGTTACCTTCAGTTCCTGTTCTCTTGGGTGGGAAGGATCACATCCAGAAGTTGACTGTTAACGTTCAGTAAGGCCCTCTTTGAAAGTACCCTGAATGAACAGCAGAGTCTACGAGAACCCAGGGTCCAGGAGTCTGCAGAAGATGAGGGCTAATTCTGGTTTGGCAGTCTTGACCAAGTGTTTCATGGTGACTATGTGAGAACCTCACAGTGGCCAAGTAGAAAAGATAGTTAGTCACTATATCAGAACGAGGCACTAGTGAGAGCTGGCAGGGCCCTAGAAAATCTCATCCAAATTTCCCATAACCAGGTGGGCCCAAAGAGGAAAAATGAGCCCCACCCCCTGAAGCTTCATGGCAAATAGCTGTGCTAGCTAGAACCTTAGCTTTGGGGTCAAATGCCCAGCCTACTTTGGCACTTCTTGCCTGTGTGACCTGAGCTTAGGTTTCCTCACCTATGAAATGAGTTTGTTGTGAAGATTAAGTGAGATAATTCTAATTCATGCAGAGCAGCTTGTGCAGCACATAATGATATAGAGTGTTAGTTATTATCAGGTTACACTGCATGGAGCTGCTGTCTCCTACATCTCCCTCCTCCTCTTCCAAACCCTCCACCCCCACTTTATATAAAAAGGGATGTATGGCCCCGAACTCGAGTATCTGGTCCTTGGTCAGTGCAAGGGGCACAGTGTAGCCTGCATATCTCCTCACCCCTGAGGATGAGAATGAACCAAGCTATAGAGGCTCTTTGGAGTTACTGACCCCAATATTGCTCTTTCCTGCTCTGGCTTTGTGTGCCTCCTGTACTCACCACTGTCTGGGTACATCACAGCAAAGCCCTCTGAGGGCAGAGACTAGATTCACACACTATCTTTCCAGGGGGCCTATGCTAGGGCCCCAGAGGGCATTTGGAAGCTGTACTTTAGGGACTGCTGGAATTAAAAGAATTCTTAAGGATAATCTTGTCCAAAATCCTCATTTTATATATGAGAAAACTAAGACCAAGAGAACAAGAGTGACCTGCCCATTAAATGCATAGTGATTTGGTTGTCAACTGATTAAAAAGACACTGGCATCTATAATGGTTTTTATTTATAAACAAGTTGACATAAAATAAGTCCAGATGGCAGCAGGAACAGCTGAACTGCTGACTTGCTTACAAGGAAGCATATGCACAGTGGAGTGGATGGAATTGACTCCAGCCTGGAGACCCTTCCCTCCTATCCACTTTAGGAACTTCTTGGCCTAAAATCATTGGACCCATCTTCCTCGGCAGCAATTATGGCCAGAGAAAGGAGCTATGGTAGGCAACAATATGGGGCAGAGGACTCTCATTCCCACAAATGAGGGCTGGGACTACAAAGGTCCCAGTGGGGTAAGAGAGAGGCAGGTGACAGGGACCTATTCCTCTTCATACTGAGTGATGTGGTCAAGGCTTTACATGTCCACTCCAAAGAGAAAAGGCCCTAGAGCAGTGTCCTCTGAGAGGGGACCACGAATATATGGAAGGGGCCTCTGGGGGACTAGGGCAGAACAGTCTCCCTCTTCCTGAAACCCAGTGTCTGGTGTGAGAAGAGTGTCAACTGAAGGGTTTGCCCAAGTGCCAGAAACAATAAATTAACAGTAAGAAAAGAGCTTTTTTTTTTTTTTTTTAAAGGTAGAGGTCTGCACCATGAATTTAGAGTCTGGGGATCTGGTAAGAAGGCAGGAGCTGTGGGGAGATGGGTGCCACACCAAGCCCAGGGGTGGTTGGGGGCCTGGGTGTGAGCGTCAATTCAGGGCCCTGTCTTCCAGGTCCCAGCGTTGGCCTCTTCTTCCAACACTTGGAAGGTGTTCAGTCTAAACTCCTGGTGAGAGGCCAGCCAGGCTTGAGAAATAAATAGAGGGGTACCTCAGAGCCACATAGAGCTGAGGGGAAGAGCAGTGCCAGCCCTGGGCACCACACTCTCCCCTCCTCAGTCCTTCATGGAAGGACATATCGCAGTAGCTGGGGTAGCACTGGTAGCTCTATACAGCCTCCTGGAGTCCTGAGGCGGCCCAGAACTCCACTGAGGTGACTGGGAGGAGGTTGATGGCCCTCCTTCCTGGGAGAAGAATGCCTCCACCTGCTTGACCACTCAGTTGTTGAGTCTGCATCTCCCTGTTCAAAATTTGCCCTGCTTTAGCCGGTCAATGTGGTAGGAGAGCTTGAGTGCGGGCCCCAGCTTCAGACCCATGTACTTCATCATCATGTCACTGCGCAGCAGCAGCAAGGCCTTGCCATCGATTTCCTAGGGGATGGAGAGGTGGGAAGAAGTGGAGGGGGGAGGCTCCATCAGACATCTGGTCGGTCTGACCACCCCTAGGGTCTGATTAAAGGCTACCATATACAGTGCAGTCTTGTCAACCTGCTGTGACAGTGAAGCATACCTGTTCTCCTTACCTTTTGCCTCTAAGCATCCCTTCTCCCCAAGCCTCTAATGTTGAACCTATCAAGTGAGGCTCTGCACACACGTTTGTGCCACTTTCCTTCAATCTCCCATCCTCCCAAACCACCGAGGCCCCCTCAACTCCAGCTTGCCCAGGAAGCCTCCCCAATCAGTGGACCTGTTTTTATATTGACCTTCAATTGTTATTCCATGTGTCATTGTCTTTCCTGAGCAGCAGAGACCCCTCTGTGTGAGCTAGGTACAAAGGAGGCATGTGCTGAGGAGCTGTGATACAATAGCCCTCTCCACACATGGAGTGATTAGGAAGGTAGCAGACCTGTTCTGCTACCCACAGGACAGCACCAAGAAGCACAGGCTGTGGGGAAGCATGTTGGAGCCCCAAATCAGGAAAATGGTCACCGCAGCGGGGTCAGGAGCAATCCCTGGCCATGGAGTCACATGGTAACTTCAACAGATGATGGGGATTTATAGTGGAGAAGCAGTTGATGGGGGACTGATGAGGGTGGAGAGTTGGGGGTTACCTGGCAAGAGACTCTTTAAACTTGGGCTGAGGCCCCAGATTTTCACACCAAAGCAAGAAGATGGTAGTGCAAGCACTCTTGGGAAAAAAGAGATTGAGATCTGTCTCTGGGACTGAGCCACAAATCCAGTGGCAATGTGGCTGCATCACATCCTACATTAAAGAGTGAGCTGAACACAGTGCACAATGAGGTCTGTTTGAGACCCGAGATTCTGTTTTTAAGTTTTTTTTGAGACAGAGCCTCAAGCTGTCACCCTGGGTAGAGTGCCGTGGCATCACAGCTCAGAGCAATCTCCAACTCCTGGGCTCAAGTGATTCTCCTGCCTCAGCCTCCCAAATAGCTGGGACTACAGGCACCTGCCACAATGCCCAGCTATTTTTTGGTTGTAGCCATCATTGTTTGGCGGGCCTGGGCTAGATTCGAACCCACCAGCTCAGATGTATGTGGCTGGCGCCTTAGTCACCTGAGTCATAGGCGCCGAGCCTGTTTTTTAAGTTTTTATGGTGTCTCCTGTGTTTAGTTTCAAGGGACCTGGAACACATACATAGCCAATGCCCTGTAAGAGTTTATAAGTTACAGAAGCAAAACTCCCACTGGAAGGGGTCAGGCAAAGGCACCTACGTGTTTTCGAAAGAGGTCAGCATGGGGTCCAAGCTGAGGATCAGCTTCCCGGACAAACTGCATCACATCCTCAACTGTCCATGAGGAGGGGTCCCGGCCACTTAGTCGAGAGGCATCCCGGCTTTCCAAGTATCGGTCCGACCCTGCAGGATAGGAGGGTACCTACCATAACGAATGGGGACTGGTTTGTAAATCCCCACCACTCTCCTTGGCACATCTCAATGGCCTTATAGATCTGATGCTCACAGCAGTGCTAGATCATGGGACCATGAGAGGAATTGGAGACAGCCTTGGGAGGAAAGAGTTTTTCTATAAAGGGAAAGTGAAATCTGTTATTTAAGGGTAAATATAATATTTGGAAGTAGAAGGAATTTTGCATTGAGGCTGGGATTCAGCCTGAACCCAAGACAGCAGTACCAATGTGGTAAAGGGATTACTTGGATTCAGTGGGTAGGCAAAATTAGAGATCTTTGGCATATGGGGAGAAAAAAACTGGAAGATAATACCCTGGATTCTTTTCTGATGCCTCTAGAATAGCTGACCTCACTACAACCTGATATACTAGGGCAGAAAATGCTTTTTACTTGTCTTCCAAGAATCTCAATGGTAATTTAGTGGTCTGCTTAGAGCTTTTATCTCAATTTTGGCTCAGTTATAACTCCTTCCATTCCTCCTATGGGATTTGGGATCTGTATTTTGATCATCATCAATCACACAACTCTTGCATTTTTTATCCCCTCTGCCTGGAATATGTCTCCTCTCCTTTCAATTTCTCCATTTCTTTGAGCTAACTTCACTTTAGCTAAGCTCCTTTGTGAAACTTCTGGTTTAATCCTGAAATAAATGGTTTTACAGCAGGGGTCCTCAAACTTTTTAAACAGGGGGCCAGTTCACTGTCCCTCAGACTGTTGGAAGGCCCCGGGACGAGTCAGCTGCTAAGCAGGACAGGCAGCGGCAGCAAAAATACCTGGCAGGCCGGATAAATGTCCTAGGCAGGCTGCATGTGGCCCGTGGACTGTAGTTTGAAGACGCCTGGTTTAGTGATATCTCTTGGTTAGAGCTTATTCTGTACACATTTTCCTACCATCACACTACACTCGTACAGGCAGCCCCCAGGTTGTGAACGAGATAGGTTCTGTAGGTTTGTTCTTTAGTTTAATTTGTATGTATGTTGGAACAGGAACATTTGCCAATTACCTGTAATAGCCTCCATTTGTGTGAGTCATAGGTTAGTTGGATGTTTGTAACTTGGGGACTGCCTGTTATCTATTCTCCATAAAGCAACCAAAGGAACCTTTAAAAAGCAGTAATTGAATCATGTCAATATCTTCTAAAAACTCAATGCAATGGCCCGTTGCACATGGAACGAAACCTGAACCCCCTTTCCATGCTTGCCAGGTCAATAAGGCACTCGCTAGCTGGCTCAACTTGGCCTCATTTCACACTCTGCACTCCTCCCCCTACCTCACTCACCATGCTGCAGACATACTAGCCTTCTCTCTGTTTCTTGAATAGGCCAATCTTTTTTTCTTACACTTGCAATTTCCTGTCTGAAATGTTCTTTTTCCAGATCTTTTCATGCCTGACTCTTTCTCAACATTATCATCTCAAATTTATCAATTCCTCAGGGAAGCCTTCCCTGATCTCCTAGTAAAAGTACTCAATTACCCACATAGTCATCCTCAATCCAATTACCCTAGTTTTATTTCACCCACAGTACATATCATTAAGGTAATTTCATTACTCATTTATTTTATGTCTACAGTTTCCTCCCAATAGAATGTAAACTCTATTTTGTTCCCTGCTATGTCCCTCACATATAAAAGAGTGCCTGATCTGTCACAGTAGATGCTCAAACACATTTGATAGATAAATGAATGATCATATAAAAGTTACTTCTGTATTTTTCTGTCTCCCCAACAAGGCTATGCTTCTATTGAGGCAAGGTCCTTGCCTTGCTTATGCCTACATCCTCAGCATCAGGAGATGCCTTATAACACAATTACCAAGTGGCAGAGCTAAGACACATCTGTGAAAGCAGAAGGGTCTAATCTCTATCTCCTACAAAGGCTAAGAATCCCCTCCTATTTTCCTTCCTTCTGGGTCCCACGTCTAAAACTTAAAGTGTACTTTGCCTGGCCCAGCTCTCTAGGGAAGAAATTCTAGCATACTGTCTTTCGAGTTTATAGTTGGGCACTGACCAGACTGAGGGGGAAGTGTGTTAGACTAGCAAGCAGGGGCTGTCTGGACTAGAGCCACAGAAATCCCAAAAGCTTTTTAGAGGTATTAGTATACAGGAAGTTGAAGGTGACTGTGTGAGCCTATCACTTTTCCCTACCCTAAAAGTTCACTGTGATGCTAAGAGAAAAGCCAACTGCAGAGACTCTGGAGAGCAGAGAGAAGACATGGGAAAAGAATGTATATGCATGACTGTGTCCTTGGACCTTCTTAGCTAATTCCTCTACTTAGGGGCTAGGAATCACATGCACATATGTGCAATATTATATTTAAACATACACAATAGTAGTATATTTAAACACACACACATGGAATATGCTGTCGACTGAATATATATTACCCTAAAATTCTTTTTTTTTTTTTTGAGACAGAGTTTCACTTTATTGCCCTCTATAAGAGTGCAGTGACGTCACAGCTCACAGCAACCTCCAACTCCTAGGCTTAGGCGATTCTCTTGCCTCAGCCTCCTGAGTAGCTGGGACTACAGGTGCCTGCCACAATGCCTGGTTATTTTTTTGTTGTTGTTGCAGTGGGCTGGGTTCAAACCCGCCATCCTTGGTATATGGGGCTGGCGCCCTACCCATTGAGCCACAGGTGCTGCCCATACCCTAAAATTCTTATGTTGAAATCCTAAACCCCCAGAGTGACAGTATTAGGAGGTAGGACCTTTGAGTAGAGTACCCATGAATTAGATTAGTCCTGGTAAAAGAGGCCTGAGTGAGGTCGCTTGCCCCTTTGGCCATGTGAAGTTACAATAAGAAGATGGCCATCTATGAACCAGGAAGCAACTCATCATGAGACACCAAATCTGTTGGTACCTTGACCTTGGACTTCCCAGCCCCCAGAACTGTCAGAAACAAGTTCCTATTGTTTATATGCCACTCAGTTCATGGTATTTATTATAGCAGCCCAAATGGACTAAGGCAATTCATATACATAATATGTTTATGTGTTTGTCTTCCCTACTCCCATTAGAATATAAACTCCATGAGTGAAGGCAGGTGAGAAGTAGCTAATTTATATGGTGGTCAGGAGAGGCATATCTGAAATGATGACATTTGAGCAAGGATCTTGAGGCAGAAAAGTGAATGGCTTGCTGATGGTGTAGCAGGAAGGGCAATGGGCCAGAGCAGAGTGATTGAAGGAGAAAGTAGTATGAAATAAGATCCAAGAGGCTCGGTGCCTGTGGCTCAGGTGGCTAAGGTGCTAGCCACATACACCTAAGGTGGCGGGTTCGAATCCAGCCTGGACCTGCCAAACAACAATGATGACTGCAACCAAAAAATAGC